AGTTGAAGGATGTATGGACGGACAAATGGAGGGGTCTCTATAGCTTATCCCCTAATCTTCGTTGGATTGAACAATTGTGAATATGGTTTGTTGGACAAATAAAACTGATTGAATGTCTAAAAGCAAATAATGAAGTGGTAATTTATTTAAAATCATTAAAATCTCAAACATGCTTGCTTTGGTCTAGTCACTTTAAAATTCCTAAATGTCCCGTAATTAGTATCTATATACCTTATTAGATGCAGTGAAGGAGTTAAATCATTGGGATATGAATAAATCATGCAAAACATATTTTGTACATATTTCTCATCATTTAGGGTTACCCAGTAGTTTACAAGCTGACCTTTGCAAAATATATTTCACTTACTATCCTCATTCACTATCACGCTATCTAGTTTCTTTCCAAATTGGCCTGAATTGCCTGGTTTATTGGTTTTAGCGAACCGTCCATTTCATCGAACCATCATTTTGCTAAGGTTGTTTGTGATGAATATACAATATTCAGTTACATATAACTCTACAGCAACTTTATGCAAGGGAAGGTAATTGTGTGAGAGCACATAAAGTACACGAAGTATTGACCCACTTGTCTCAGTGAATCTTATAAACAGTGCATAAAGTTTTTTCTATGCAATGATTGGCTCACAGTTACTAGTAGTGTAAGTTATTTTATTTCTATACAGTGTGGAATAGAGTGTATAAACTTTTACAGTTTCAAGCAGGTTTTAGTATTTTCTGACCAATGATATATTCAGACTTATTCATTTCACGATTATGTAATACTGACCTACATATCTGTATAGCATATCTTTAACCCTTGCAAATTGTAATTTATTGAATTCACAGTAAACCCATCAATTTAAAAAAAACAAAGAATATTGTTCTCATGGATCTATTATTCATGTTAAACTAACTATGAAAATATAAATATGAAATAATATGTTAGCTTGAAGTCATATATAAGATGAAAATATATGTTCATGCATTTGCATTTTTCCATAAGGGAATACATTCCCATGTAAGTAAATACAGGTGCAATATATAATTTATATGTATATCTATGTCATCTGTCTCTACATGCGCGTATGATATAGTGATACATTTGAACGAGATGGTTCTGGAAAGAAATGAGCGTGGCCATTCTGATACTCATAGCATCTTTCTGTTTCACTTGAAACATGCTCTGATATTATGAGGCATATTCTGTGATCTGAGCACATCAGATGGGAAGAGTTATAACTGTCAATAAGTGTGATAGTTATCATGTAATCATTTACCTAATGTTAATATATTACATAATAGGCATTGTAGTTAACATCAGATATTAGCACAGGTACGTGTACACAAGTTTAATGACCCCAATTAAATGAAATATGAGCTGGGATGAAAGATCTCAAAAATCCTCAATTTTGGGCTCTCCTGGATCGCCAAATCAAGCTCATTATATCATGGCATCTCAGGGCTGAGAAGAAATGAGATGTCATGGTATATCATGATGGAGCGTGGCAGATTTGCTCAAAAGCCACATACACCACAAAAGCAAGACCAATTTGAAAGTAAGTTCATTATATTCAAGGGTACACTTCAAGTGAAAGCTACATTGCTACAGGGTGGCCTATCATTCTGAGACAAATGTATTGTCCAACGATTGTGATTTTCGAAGCTAAAATATGATATCTTGAGCAGATGGAAATACATTCCAATGAGATAGTCAAAAGCAGTGGCGTAGGAACAATGTACGCCAAAACGCCAGTGCGTAGTGTTAAAAAGTGAGAATAAAAAGACTTATTAATTTTCCTATGTTCTTTATTCATATTTTCTCATTGTATTGTGCAAAAGTAATCTCGAGCACACTAGCCTAAAGAAATGTTTTGTGGATACCATCTGATATGCTCGATTTTTTCAATAGTTCTCTTTTGCATGATTTTGTGCTTCTTATTTTTCTAACCTAAGATAAATGACACTTTTTGAAAAATAAAATATTGAAAGTTACCTTGTTTCTACAGTTCTAATACTAATTTGACAGATTGAATTCACTTACCAACATGCTTTATTTCATGAAAATCGAGCTACTATTGATTTTAAATTTTAAAAAAATTTCGCCAAATATTCGTGATTCGCGTTCTCTTCACGAATTTGAGAGGAAAACAGTTTTTCAAAAAGAACTTGATGAATACCTTTGCAATTTTTTGTGCATGTTCCATAATGCTTATGCAAACTGTGGTATCATTTAATTATAATGATCAACCTCTTTAAGTTAGATGTACATTTTTTATTCTCCTTTGTCCCTTTTTCAATTTTACTATATCGATTTATATTCCGTTGCTAGGCAAAATCATAGACTGAAATTGTAGTTTAGTCAGCAATTATCCATCTTTTTTACTAAATCACCAATTGTTATTGATAGTACTTCTTGAAATATGAATGTTAAAATGCGTTCCATTGATTTCAGTTCTAGAAAAGCTATTACCTAGATTTTTTTCATTTGAAAGATAATAGATCATTGTTTAAGGAAATATAACATTTTTGGCTACCCCTAAGTCACGTTGACCTCGATTTGACCTTTGTGGTGGGAATTCGGTCGAATTAGTGTTATAAAAAAGGTTGCAGACATTAGGGTTAATTGTATCATTGATCACAAATGCGTTTCTATAAATCAATTGATCAAACTAGAATCTTTAATCTGTACGTATTGTCGTATTGCATGGTAAACGATGAAATAATAGAATATATCTCAATTCAGTTATTTGAAAATGATTAAAAATCTCTTATTGTTATTTGGAAATTGGTCGTCTATATCGTTTGAGACATAAGAAAAGTGAGAATGATTTGTGTCGAGATTTAAAAGATCGTCTTTCCATGGTGATTTTAAATGATGAAAATTATTCGAAGATTTTAAGCACATTAAAAAGGTATCAGGGGTTTTAAGCTTGCATATAAAATCGAAACGCCAACCTATACGTATGACCAATCCGCCCATACAAATGCATCGCTTCAATATTTCCGTTTACATTTAGGTTGTGAAAACATTGCAAGCTTAAAATCTCTAGCTCTATTGCCATAAAATGACGTTTTACGAGCATAAAATAGGCGTTTTGATTTAGAAGATTTGACACAATATTTTTTTCATATTTTTCGCGGGATTTTTTGGCGTAGTGTTGAATTTACACCTTCCTACGCCCCTGAAAAGTGATAACTATTTATTGAGTGTAATGAAACGTATCCTTCGCTAACTGCTTTTGTTTGAGATAATCATCATGAAATGTTTTTAAATTAATTTTTATGTGTGTCATTGATCCTAATCCACCCTGTAGTCTGGTGTTTGTAGAGCATTGCACCTGGTACAACTTATTCTCACAAATATCAAACCTCATTTACTAATTAATTTTTTGTGTGAATATGAAGAGTCGAAGCATTGCTTTTTTTATGTTTACTGCATAGCTATATTTAGCCTTGATATCCATGATTTTTTAAAACAAAATCTCACTGTTAGATTTCGAGCTATTCATGTTTACTCATTTTTCTAATTGGAAAACAATGCAAATCTCATTTTTTCAAAGGAAAAAATTGAAATTCTAAGACGGTGAAAAATCATTGAAAAATACACAGATTCAGAATCCGGCAAGCATTTTCCCTTTTTCCTCTCCGTTAAGAAGTTTTGTAAGGTGTTGGATCCCTTTAAATCAGTTATTATCCATATTTATGGATAATAATGAATATGTTTCACATTCCTTATCTCAAATGGTCAATCTTTTTTCAATTTAGTAGCCGTTGTACTGATATTTTATCTTAGTCAAAAATGAGAGCGAATGAGTATAATGGATCTTTTAACTTTGCACATTTTAGATCAATCAAATATAACTATTTTTCATATGTTTACCATCTTGGTAGATACAAAATAACACATATAATATTCTAATTAAATGAATTTTTATATTTCGTGGCCTCATTAAACACTCATTCCGTTAAGAATGGTATCGAACCATTGATTTAAATTTATTTATGCAATCACTTTGTATAACACATGTTCAGTTTGGGTAATGATTCAGATTTTGAATATAACATGGCAATGAGGTTGTAGTACCTAATTTCATACCAAAATGAGCATAGTCAGATAGAAGTGATGATATCGTCAACAATGAAAATTATGACTACAAATGTGTATAGATAAGGTGTATAGATCCAATGGGGCGTTTAATGTAATATGTTGATGCAGAGATAGAGGGTTGTAATAGGAGTCCTTGTGCAAAATATAGGGGAGAATAATAAAAGAACTGGCGATACATCAAGGCTTTTGGTTGAAAGTCTCTGAAGATTTGCATCTTCTCACACAATGAAAGGTATTTCTATGAGGGTTTTAATGGAACAAGTTTGAAGAAAAGCGGTGCACTATGAGACTCACAATCATTGATTTTCCAAATAAAGGGTAGTTTTGAAATTCAAATTAACGCTTTTGCGGGGTGTTTTGGTTTCGATACGCCCCGGTGAGTTACTACCGCGTGGATATATATATCACCCACTCACCTCTAATATAGATTATATTACCCCTGTTATTTACTTATAACACTACTAAGTATAGGATAAATCTAAATACAGTTCATTATCCCTATATTCTGTTCAGTGCAGAATTTTGGATGTAAGTATTCATCTTAATGAAGAGTGTCAATGAAATGTTATTTCATATTTTATCTCTGCAAGTAAATAGAACTGTTTTTTTTTCGTGATGTTTGTATTTCTTTATAGTTTTCTAACAGAAAATTATTACTCAGGCAGTGAAGCATGTGGAAATGATTATGCTTGAGTGTAATACAGATTTTGTAAACATAGAAATACTGATATATGTATATTCTATTAAGCCACAAATAAACTGTGTTATCCCAATTGCAACGTGACCTGATTATATGCCTGTCATGGGAGAACCATATGTCAGGATTCTATGGAACTGTCTCTCTTTCTACCTGTTTGCAATGTCAATTTTAATTGCTTTTGTTATTTATGTAAATAAGGCATTGTAATTGAATCCTTAAATTGATGCATTTTCAAAATGATCTAATCCTCATTGAATTACAATATAATTTAGAATTAGTGAATGCATGGAATGAGACATATAAAGAGAGCCTTCACTTTGAGATGTTAGTATATGCAGCAGGCTGAGGAAACATCAGATACTTGAAGGAAACCAGGATTTTTATACTCTTCAGGTTAGTCAATCTGTATCTATTTTGCTATGTCTTCTCTTGTGTTTTCAAATTTAATACTTAACATTGTTGTTTTAACAACAATATTAACAACAATTGTTGACTGTACGACAAAAGTTTTAGAATGTACCAAATGTTATCAAAATATACTATGTGAAACTTCATTTTAAAAAATTGATTTTGAAGGACTTTCTGCTAAAAAAAAATTGTCAAAATAAAATAAAATTATTGTTATCACATGTATATACTGGAAACCAAAAATTTACAAAATATGGTTGAAAATAAGCAAGAAAATTAACTCATAAGAAAATTGGTGCAGAGAGAAAAGTATTTTAAAAGTTTTAGTTCTCAGTAAATGCAATGTAACATCAATATTTAAAGTATGATAAAAACTAATTTTTACCCAGATAGGCCGAGAATTTTGATTTATTTTGAAAGTTGAGCACATTTAAAAAATTATTTCTGTTTGAAAAAGAGTAAAATATTTGAAAAAATATTTTTCCCTCTGAATGACATCACAGCATTTTCTTGTGACATCACATATTTTTAAAAATGCTTTTAAATTTATATATGCATGCAGGCTAAATGGTTGAAACAATTTGACTTTTATCTGATTTTTTCTTCGGTATTACAGTGTTAAGTGTTTTATTGATGATCTAAACATCTAAACTCTTGTTTTTAAAATGGCGGGAAATTCAAATATTTGATCTTCGTCATCATTATGTCATCATCAACTTCAGTTAAAGTCATTATGAATGAAGCCATTTTCTTTAAAATTCTCCAATATCGTGGTTGTTTGAGCATTTATTTAAAGAATAAAGAATCATTAATCATTCTATATTGGAAATATAAAATTATGAGTATATGTACTAACCCACAAACATAATAGGCGAAGATTCAATTTAGTTTAGCTGAAATCTGAGTTTTATCGAAAACGAGAAGAATTTTGGCAACCATCTTGAATGAAGCTAACTGCAGTTAAGAGTCATCCAGCTGAGGAACAGTATACTTAAAAGCATATTTATTTTTCTGCTGACAATTTGGCTAGTGAGCAACCATTTTGAAAATGGCCTTTCTTCTTATGTGTGTTATTTTACAATATTTGCTCTACATTTTGTTTGTAAAAATGTCAACCATTGCTGTTCGATAGGATTTGCTGTTGTCTAGTTATAATTGTCAAAATTGTTTATTTATTATTATCTAATACATTGATAAATTATATACTATTCTACTCAATTCTAATGTTTTTAGCATATAACTAACAAAAATGATAACCTTTATATCTTCAGAAGATTATCTCAAGATGTCACCCAAGGTCATTACAGCTCTTATGATGGTAGTTGTGGCTGGATGTATGGTAGAGGTCCTAGCTGTAGAAAGATGTGAACCTTGTTACGATATTATTGATAACCCACGAAAGTCATTACAATCATGTGGAAAATGCAAACTAGTTGACAAGAAGAAAGGGACATTTGAGTGTGATGAATGTAAAGCCAAGTTCAGGTGTGCCAGCACTGATTATCCTAATCCTGCTAAATATAAAGCAATAGCTGATCGAATGGTTGAAAGATCCGATTGCTTCGATAATTATGAAGAATGTGCAAGGTGTCGGTGTCCTGAAATTGAAAATCCTTGAATTGATTGTCAATGATAACACAAAATAAAGTTTTGTTAAATGTTTATTTGTTGCTTGATCGTATTTTATTATATATTCTTATATTATATATTTATGTATTATACATAAAGAATAAGTCTGAATGAGGATAAACAAAATCATTAAATCTCTCTGTATGCATGTGTTTATCATTTTGTGTATCAGCTATAATTAAGAATCAGGGTTTGCATATCAATATTCTTTACAGCTGTATTGGTGGAAGTTATCCCAATAAACAAATATTGTGAATAGGTAGAGGTCTTCTTATTTTAAGCAATTTGATTCAAATTTTACACTAAAAGTTGAGACATGTCTAACCATCAGCGTCAAAAAATAGCGGAGTACAGTTTTCTGTACGGTGACGCAAATTGACTGCTTTGAACCCTATGACTAGGGTTTTAAAATAAATTAATTTGATGAAAACAAATACAATTTCATGTGAAATAAAAACAGCATTCTCTTAGAAATGGTTTTAACTTTCTAATTATGATAGAAGTTTTACGAGCACTCTTCAGATTTTTTCTGTGTGAATCGGCCCACATAATCGACAAAAGTGAAAAAGTTTGTTTTTTCACATTTCGTTTGGTTTTTATTTTCCCTGCTGTCTGAGAGTATATGGATTATTTTTATGAGAATATGTATTTGTTAACTACACATTTTAGAACGAGCAATGATTCAGCTAATAACCATTCATTGTGTATATTTAGAAAAGATCAGATTTGTGTGGTGACGCATCAGCTGTACGTTGTAATATAAAGAACTCATTATTATTTACTTAAAATCGCATACATTTTGGTTTGGAAGTTCAAATATTGATCCAATCAAGTATCCCTCGTATAAATGTTGTCAAACTGATCAGTATCAAGCGAAAGTTACTGCAGTCACCTTTGCATTTAAGATGGCAAACAGGAAGTGTTGATTTCGATATTTTTAGTTTTCCTCTAATTAAACTCCTTTATAGTTGGAGTTATGCTTTGATGAACTAAATGAGACTAAGCTTATATGAAATGGAAATTCTGGAGTATGATCATTTGTTCATATATAGTGCATGGGTGCCACAGTTCAACGATATCTTCCACCGCTTAATGGAAGGTTACTGGAAATTTATGCTACGATAAGGATCATATAACCAAAAATTCCATATATTTGTTGCTATGTTATTGATGTTTTTAAACAAGTGATGTCACAAGTAAATATCATCTTGAACGAGTGACTTTTTAGGATGAAAGATGCAATATCTTGCAATGGGTAAAAATGGCTGTAGGCTATCTTTGTTAGTCATATGAGACAAGCATGGTTTAATTCAAATGATATCAAAGCATTTCTTCAACTTTCAAATAGTTAATTCCATGAAAACACATATGTTTTCACACAAGACCATTGTATTATTTTAGTTTAATATAACAGATCTATAAATCATAACTTATCAATACCTTAATACATATGGATATAATATAATTTAAGTACTCGGATTGTACAATTAAATTTCCATCCATTCCCCTCCTCCTCCCAGCAGCTTTATAGACTGAACTTGTCAACATTAACCCTAGAAGCCCTAAGGGGGGGGGGGGGGCTGTTATGTTTTTTCCCCATAACTATTATTGGCATCTGGCAGGATCTTCAAATTTTCAGTAGCTGGAGCTACTGATATGACAAATGTTTCCTCTAATCATCAGCTCCAATAGACAAAATCGGAAAAGGCTAGCACTATTTCTACAATACTGTTGTCTTTAGAATAAAATTACGCAATCTTACATCATCATGGTTGTTACAAAGTTATTTCACAAAGTTGTAGAGAATTGAATGAAGTATATTTGGGGAAAGTTTGAACATCCTAGCTGTACTAATAAAAATTTACGAGGAGGTGCCCTTTTGACCCCTCCCCCTTAGGTGTTTGTGTGACTTTTTTTATTTAACCTAAGGGCTTCTAGGGTTAATAAAATTATATTATTATTTACATTAAATACGAAGTAGTATTGTTCTATTTACAACAAGCAGTTCTAGGGAGCATCACAAATACCAATATGGTTTGCCTCATATAGGGATCCAAGAATATGTCATTGCATAAATTACAACTTGTGTACTTTTGAAAACTAGTTTGATATAGATTTGTATCTGTCAAACACAACAATATGCCTGCCCATTCCATAAAAAGTGAATGTACATACAGCTGTATTCTTCACTTTTATGGAACAAATACAAACCGATGGGTCATTTTTGTCAAAACATCATCAAAATGGGCTGTTTTTCATTGGCTTTTTGGCTTTTGATAACGCTTGTAATCACATTACATTACAAAACAGGTGCCAAAACAAATATATAACTATTGGTTTAAATCTGAGTCATCAATAATTACTTTATATAGAAATCCAAGATGGCTGCCAAAATGGGTGCCAAAATGAATATGTAACTTTTGATTTAAGCTCAAAGAACAGTGATTTTGGAGACGATGATTAAGTTTTAAGGGTCAATGATTTCATTTATGTCTAAATCTGAGTCATTAAATAATTTCTTTTCATAGAAATCCAATATGGCTGCCAAAATGGGTGCCAAAACGAATATATAACTATTGGTTTAAGCTAAAAAAAAGAACAGTGATTTTGGAGCCCATGTCTAAATTTTAGGTGTCAAGGATTTCGTTTACATGTATGTCTAAACCTGAGTCATCAAATAATTACTTTTTAATAGAAATCCAAGATGGCCACCAAAATGGGTGACAAAATGAATGTTACCGAAACGAAACGTTTCGGTAACAAAATGTTAGAACGTTGAAGGTGAGGGATTAAATCAACGATTCCGTTGTCTCCTGAAATATTTGTTTGCAAATGTGTACATTTTCCTAATCATATGATACTGATACACGTTTGTGATAAAAATGTCGTGGGAATTCTGCCTACAACATGTGAAATAAGGAAAAAAGAAAAATCGTGCCTTCAACGTTCCGACATTTTGTTATCAAAACAGTTCCAGCGTAATCGAGTGGATCACCAGTGAGCAAGGCTGGGCATCGGAAGAAGCCTCACACACATGAAAAACTTAAAAAGGCAGTATGTTAATTTTTTTATTTTGGCAGTCATTTTGGCAGCCATCTTTGACATCCATATAATTAAATCATTCAATGATTTCGTTTGACAAAATTAAATTCATTGACCTCACAAATTAGAAATCCCAAAATAATGTCCTAACTGCTCTATGTTTAGATAAAAGTTACATATTCACTTCTGCAGCCATTTTGACAGCCTTCTTGATGTCCAAATGAAAGAATTATTTGATGACTTGGTTATACACATAATTGAAATTCTTACTCCATTAAACCTGGACAGGGTCTCCAAAAATCACTGTTCTGCACTGTTCTGAGCTTGAATCAATAGTTATTACATATTTGTTTAGGCACCCATTTTTGTGGCCATCTTTGATTTCCATAAAAAGCAATTATTTGATGACTTAGGTTTAGACATAAATGAAATCATTGGCCCTTACAAAATATGCATGGTGTACAAAATCACTGTTCTTAATTGTTCTTTAAGCTTCAATCAATAATTTCATATTTATTTTGGCACCCATTTTGGTGGCCATCTTTGATTTCTATATAAACCAATTGTTTGATGACTTGGATTTAGACATAAATGAAATCCTTGACCCCTAAATCGTGGACATGGTCTCCAAAATCACTGTTCTCAACTGTTCTTTGAGCTTAAATCAATGTTTACATATTCATTTCGGCACCCATTTTGGTGGCCATTTTCAAGATGGCGGTAGAACTTCAGAATGACTGCCATTTTCGTAAAACATTTGGATTTGGTTCAAATTTTAAATGCTGATGCCTAGGGATACAGTAGCTAGCTCTGTTTGAGAAAGAATTTTTAAGATGGCAGCTCAATTTCAAAATGGCCGTCTTATTTCATAAAATAAAAATCTTTGCCAACTGAGCAGATTCGGTTCAAATTCATATGCTGATGCTTAGGAACAGTAGCTCTGTTTTAGAAGACCTTTTCAAGATGGTTGTTAAATTTCAAAATGGCCACAATTTTCATACAAAAACTAATCTTTGATAACACAAATACCAGTGGATGGATATGGTTCGAATTTTTATATGTTGATGCCTAGGGACAAACAAGCTCTGCTCAAGAGGGAATTTTCAAGATGGTGGTTAAATATCAAAATGGCGGCCATTTTTCATTGGAAAACATAATGTTTGATAACTCAAATATCAGAGGATGGATTTGGTTCAAATTTTATTGCCATAAAATGTGTCTTGTAGTCTAAACATGAAAGTTTTTTCTCCTATACACACTATGTAAAATCCCATGATTAATACAGTATCATAAACCCATTAAACATACATATCAGTTGTTTTAATTCGTTTTAACCTGTTATCATAGGTTTATGTATAAGACGTAATTATAACAATGAATGATACAGACTTTTTTGGAGTTTCTCCTCTGATACTCGTATAATTTGTTTTAATTTGTTATCAGCTGTTATCAGCTGTTATATTCCATCTGGTTCAACTGGGAAAAACATAGTATACTGGATGATACATTTCTCTGCTCATGCGTATAATTTGTTTACATTAGGTTACATGTTGTTGACACAACGGGTTGACACTATCTTGTTGACATAGACATATTGAGTGTTTTAATAAAAGCGGGTATTGATAAATTAGGTTTTGACATTTGAAAGTTGTAATGAATTAATATAAATGATTTTTCAAAATAAGTCACCAGAAGTGATTAGTGCAGCAGTTGAAATATATATTTTAGTTTTAGCATTTATAACGTGCTTGCAAAAACACGGGCGCCCATTTAGATTATTAGCGGTATTATTATAATATTGGATTGCTTCAATGCGCTCCATTCAAGCACTAAATATCAAAAGAAAGATTTCAGAACCCCTTAACTTCGCTCCCGGACTTCACTATTCACCACCTCCCCTCCCCCTTCCCCAATTATCTTTTATGACCCCAGATTGTTCGTTTCTGTGCCCCCCCCCCGTCCATGGCAA